GGAAAAACATAATCAAAATTAATTAGTAACAGCAAGTGACATATAGCAAACGAAAGCTAAAATATCATAGTTTTATTTAATAGTAGTATTATGAGTAAGAAAAATAAATATCAAGAAATATTAATGTCTAAAGTAAAATTTTATATATCAATAGGATGATAATGTCAGTGAAATGTCAAAAATAAAGTCATAAAATATTACATATGAAATTCAAATACAAATATAGAAGTAAGGAATATTTTGAAATATACTTAAGTTAAAATTTTTGTAAATAAATTGGAATGTGATTGTAAAATTGTAAATTATAAAGTGAAGTGAAGTGAAGTGAAGTGAAAAAAAGGCCCTAACAAGGGAGAAAAAATCAAAAGAGTAGGAAAAATAAAAATTTAGAAGATTATTGACTAGTTACGAAAGAATTTGTCAGAGAGAGGTGTCGAAAAGAAGTAAAGTTGGAAAAACCCATATAAATAGAAATAATTGTAGTGGAAATAATAAGTTAAGTACAGTTAGTCAACCAGTATAAAGAAAATCTAAAGTTGAGCCGAAAAAGGATTCAAAAGTCCAGTCTCTTAAAAAAAAAGGACTCCATTAAGATTCCAGGACGAGATTCCAGACGCATAAAAGTAAGCAGCGGGTTGCGGCTATCCAGAAATCTCAAGAAAACGAGGATTACAGGACGAGATTCCAGAAGAATAAAGTAAGCAGCAGGTTCCGGCTATCCAGCAGTATCAAGAAGACGATGATTCCAGACGCATAAAGTGCTTACTTTACTGCTGATTAGCAGGTTCCAGCTATCCATTAACTGCAGGAAGACGAGGATTCCAGGACAATATCCAGCCGAGTATAAGAGGACAAGCAGTTCGACAATTAAAATCAACAAGATATACGTAGAGGTAACTTTGTACACAAAGAATTATAAGACACAGCTAGCTAGCAAAAGAGATTGATAAATACAATCTAAAAAGTCATAGAACAATCTATAGAATAATAATAACAAAATTCCTGAAATTAAATTGGAAATATATACAAATTCTTAATTCCTGATAAATATTAGATAAATTGAACTTCACTATACGAATAATTATAAAATTTTGGCCATATTAAAATTTTGACAGATATTAAGTATTAACACATTGAGAAAGAAATTTCAAGATCAAATTTTATCGCCTTAAGTTATAGGTAACCAACAATACATTATAATAAATTGATTTGAATACAACTATATGAAAATTCTCAAAGTGTCACAAAAGTATCATAAGATAATTTCACATATTCCTGAAATTGTGCCTGACATTTCACAGTTATAATTTATTGTTATATAAAAAAAAATAATAAATTAATAAATAAATTGATTTCTAAATAATATCTTTTGTTTAGTGTGTTGTTTGGTTTTCTGCAGTTTGAACCTCACTTGAACTCACTACTGAGAAGGGTCGAAAGCAAGCTAGCCAGGGTATAATTGACAAATTAAATTACAGCATAAACATATTGTGATCCTATTGTGTAACATATACACAATAGGATCATTATTATATTAATTTCACAAACAAATCACATATACATACATATTACTACTCATAACAATATTGGTGCATACACAAATACATATTTTTACCCATAACAATATTGGCGCCCAACGTGGGGCAAGAATAAAACGTAAAGTCAGGAATAAAACGTGAAGGCAAAAATAAAACTAGAGAAATGGATCTTAGAAGCGGAAAACAAAGAAAATCGGCAATAGAGAATATGTTAGAAGATATGATGAAAACCATACAAGAAGATAGAAAGAGACAAGGGGAAGATAGAAAGAGACATTAAATTTATAATATCTATTCAAAATGACCATCTTCGTTCTCCAAACATAAATTTACTCTACGTTGCATGCAGTCAGAAACGCGTTCACGTTGAATCGGAGTTATAATGTTTATTTCACGTTCAATTGCTACTTCCAACTCTTCAAGTATGTAAAGAGGATGTTTTAAGCTCTAGTAACCAATCTATCATCATAAAATTTCTGAAGACACTTTCTGCTGCAGTATGTGCTGTAGCTCCATCTTGTTGAAAATACCCATGTTGCAGTTCATTGTCATGGATTAATTCCAGGGCTTGTTGTAAAATGTTGCAGTATCGTTTCTCCATTCATTACTTCTCAGAAAAAAATTGAGCCTATTACGTCTTCTGACGTTTTTTTAATGAAATTGTGCGAATTTTCTGGAGCTCAAGTTCTATATTTCCGACTGTTTACATAATCTCAGATAAATGTACCTACCTCATCGGATTAAAAGGTCAGGTCTAAGAAATTATCGTCGTTTAAATGTTGATTAAACCATCCACAATACTCGTTGGTTGTGATCAGGAGGACGTAACTCTTGCAAAACAGAAACTTTATAAGGATGCATATGCATGCAGCTGCTTCTTTAATACCTTGTGACAAGTCCCAACTGATATCTACGAGCATACGTTGATAGAAAATTTAAATATTCTCACGACATATTATCAATATAACATGTACAATTATTTCTTTTAAATACACAAATGAACCAGCGTAAAGCTATATGTTGATTAAAAAATACGTTCTAAAAGTATTTCATTATTTTTACACAAATCTACCAGAAATCAAAAGTTAATATTCGTAACATAATCTTAAAAGATTCGTTTAACTTACGGCAAAAACGTCGATTATTTAGAGTTCTGAAATGAACAACTTTTTTTTCAAAGATTAATTTGTAGAAAAGCAAAGTAATTCTGGTAAATACTGTTAAATTAACGGGTCTTACGCACGAGCGTTGTTTTGCCGATCGGAATTTTTACTGGTCGTTGAAAACCCCGCGGAGAACCTTTCACATGGCATTGCGTTAAAATGTTACTTTAGATGGGACGTAATGGGTAAAATTAACTACAATTCGTTTAGTAGAGTTGGCTCTGTAGCTGCCGATCCTGTATTTGTGACTGTGGTCGGTGTGTTCGCTGTTTCGTGTGTAAACCTGCATAAACTACTACTCATTGAAATCTGCCGGTCGTTGAAAAAACCGTAGGCGACCGCGTGCTTGCCGTCTAAATTTTAATTTGACCGGCAGCCGACCGTCAAATTGCCGGCGACATCTTTGTGTGTAATTAACTATACTCCGCGGTCGAAATTATAGAGAGTGATTCAGACATAATATAAAAACACTATTACCATAATGCGTATAAAATATAAAATGATTTTGATACGGTTCAATATTATTTATCTTTGTGCCGCTCGCTACGCACATCGACAGAATCTATAATCGTCTATAGACTGAGTTACACTGAACGTCGATCTATATTCTATCTCTGTCTTTTGCACTTGGTAGGGAATAGGGAAATTCTTTTTTATCGTTTTTTTATTGGGTGTAAACGGACTTGATTTATCCGTCCTGAGAAACGTCATAGCATAAGCGTAGACGAGCGGTCTAATTCCATGGCTATAATAAACTTATAAATTAAAAATACACAACTAGGACATTTTAAAATGCTGTAATAATTAAAATGGATCAAAGTGCCGGTTATAGCAAACCGTAAAAAAATATTAGATGTTATGTTTTATTATCTTTTTTCAATATTTTCTATATCTTGTTGCCTTTTACGCAGACACGCCAATGGATTTTCGTTCCCGGCACGCTTCATCCACCTTACTAGTCCAAAAGTTAGCGATGAGTAACTCTCTATAGTTTCGACCGCGGAGTATATGTGTAAATTAAAATGTGGTCGGTTATTTTGCCGATCGGTATAAATGTCGATCGGCAAAATACCGCCCGTAATTTGTACAGACAAGAACAGGCATTAAATACGAAATGTTACGAACGCCTCTGGATTGACGTTTCATCTAGGGTCCTAGATGGTAACTTTACCTTGATAATTTCTGAAATGCCAACTTAAGAAAGACAAATTTATTGAGCGCCACAACAAATCTGTTCACGTGGGACACGGATATTTATGAAAGCAGTGTATAAAAAATATTTTTTTCCAATTACACCGATAATTTTATATCTTACAGTTATAATTTTTATTATTATTGTTTTATTAGTTTTTATAATTTTCTCTGATAAAATACCCTCATATTGTTGGATAAGAACTGGCCAACAAAATGTCCAATATGACAGTCTCGCAGGCGTGAACAAAAATGTTTTTAGGAATTGATGATCCAGTTTACTTTAATAAATTCGTGATATTGAACCACTACCGCTAATATGAAAAATGAACCATTTACAAAAAGTTGAGAATATATTGTAAGTTTTGTTGAAACGAAGATGGTATCCATTCTTATGCCATAAAAAGTACCACAGAATTTTCCGAAATATTTTCAAATAAATTATAATCTACTATTAACCCGTATCGGTACCTACATTCTGAAGAATTATAGCGCATTCAAAGTGTTATTTTCTACGTTTTATAAGTTAAGCTTCTAACTACTCTGTATTTAGCTATATCATTATTATTTCGAATCTATATGTATTTTTAATTTTGTCTCCTATAATTATTTTCAGTATTTTGCTGGAACAGTATCTTTGAGAAAAGGAAGATTAAAGAATGTTTCTAACATAAAAAGGTACAATGATGTTACTATTAATTACAGTGTTTGTATGAAAAAAGTGACATTTAGTCTTCCTATCAAATTTGATATATTGAAGGTGAGTTAATGATATTTTTATTATAACTGTTAAAATTCTAAAAACTCGATTTAATGGGGTAATCGAATATGAATAATAATTAATTTTTTACGTAAAACAGAGAAATCACTGGAAACACCTTAAACATAGTTTTTATAACGTTTCATTATAAAAATTATAAACTCAAGTATGTCGTGATATACGTAATCCTCAGAGTTTCGCGACACTCTATGACTTAACATATTAAAGTAAAGTAAACTTGGCATATAAAGTTCAAGTTGATCTAAATCATAAAGAATAATTAACTAAGTTGCAAATTTGACATAAAATTACATTCACCACTTTAGAAATACCCACCATTTATCCATCCACGATCGAATAAATAAGCAGTAATAATCTATATTCTGCTAATAAGAGGCAATACGCGTTGTAGTAGCAGAAATAGGCTAAATCTATGATCAAGCTGTGTGCCGCTCTATGCTCACAATACATAATGCTAATGACTGCCACAAAAAACACGTGCCGTACACTCGACCAAGCAAAGCGTCAAACTCACTCACATACGCACAAACGACTTAAAAACTTTACGGCTACTGACTATTTTAAACGGCTATTTCAAATATGCGCCTGTGATCTCGGTATATGTTGAACCTACTTTTTTGTCATATATTTGTCAAAAAATGGAGGAATTAAATGAAAACAATAATTTAGTACTACTTTTTATTTTATTACAGCAAATGTTCAAAGTGATCCCCATTAACCATAGCACAATGTCCAATTCGGTGTTCAAAGTTATCAATTACATTTTGAATAACATTTGATGTTATGTTTCGAACTTCTTCTCTGATACGATTTTTCAACCCTTCCATAGTGTCTGGTCTGTTCACATACACTTAGCTTTTTACCTATCCATCAATTTGGGAAAACTTAATTAAGGAGGTTTATCTGATTTGGAATTGGACAGGAGGAGGCCCCATGAGCCGATCGAATCCTGCCGCGATGGCGGCCCGAGCGAGCGTCTGGGCCTACAGCGATGAAGTGGGTAAAGAGCGGTAATCCCGCTCGACCCCGCTCCATCCGAAGTCATTTTTCCTGCCAAGGATATTGGCGCGCGGAATTGACGAACAAATATTAAAAAATTAATATAAGAAGAAAATCCTCAAAAAAATTTTTGACTAGTTTGGATACCTAAGAGACGAGATATTAATAAAATAATTTTTCACGATTTAGTACAAAGTCTTATGAGAATGCAGATTATTTTGGTCTTTCCACTTAGAATGCGCAACAATTGACGAACAGTTTCCACAGCAACTTGTATAAATAGGAAACCAATATCTAAGGAACCGTATGACAGCTTGTAGAAATCGATTAGGTACTTGTAAGATACATAATTTATAATAATTCTTCTTCAAACTGCTGTCATTGACTAACTTATCCTCCATATGCGTGATAGCGGCAACGCCGCGGTCTCGACAAACGGAATGAACGGGAACGGGAGCGAGTGAACGCCGAGTCGAGCGCGCCAGCCAAGTGCAACGTTGCCAAATCTAAAGGCTTACTACTTTAATCACTAGAGAATCTACAAAAACTTTCCTTAGATTTTAGACGCACCTCCGTACCTTGATAATCCTCCTTAAGGTAATTTCTTACATCGAGGCGAAAATGTGGAGGGGCAGACATCACCAGCACGCACAACGTGCTCATTAGGGTTAGGAAAAATTAATTCCTGGGCTGGTATCAGCTGAAAGCGCAAAAAATCCAAATAAATGTCGCCTGTCAAATTGCCCTCAAAGAAATAAGGTCCCAGTATGCGATTTCCTACTATTCCAGCCCAAACACTTTTTCCGTCCGTTGTGTATATTTTTCTTGTATCCATTGCGGATTTTCTGGGCTCCAAAACCTAGTATTTTGCCTGTTCACAGTTCCGTTTAAGCAAAAAATTGCTACGTCAGTGAAAATTATGTGATTTTTTAAGGTGGGTTGTCTTTCAAATAAATTTCTAAATTTCTCGCAAAATTGTAATCTTCTGTCTGTGTCATTTGCCCACAGGACTTGTAAGACGTTAACTTTGTTTGGATGCCACTTTTGAGACTTTAGAGTTCTGTGAACTGAGGACTTCGATAAGTTGAAGTTGGCTAAGATAGATCTAATGGATGAGTGAGGATTTTCAGTAACGGCGAGCATCACATTTTGACGGTCGTTTTCGCTTACCGTTCTTTACCTTCCTGATCCAGGTAAATCTTTTATACTTCCGGTTTTTTCAAACTTTTTGGATACTGTACTCGATTAATTATCTGGTCTGGATACTTATGGTGAAATAAATCACATACCTCCTGTTGACTACAGATTTTATCTCCGCATCCAATCATAATTAAAATTTCAATTCTGTTTTTCGCTCCAACGGGCAACCATTTTTCAAAATAATTTAACAACGAATGAATTGGAACTAAAACGATTCACGTTATACCTAAGGTAACCTACCTACTCTGGTGAATTTTATGTAACGAGCGTTCAAATAAAAACGTGGTCGAAGTTGGCTCTGACACATTGGACGTAGAGAGTAGCTTATAGCGACCAACTTAACCTCATTTCTCAACGTGCTGTATAGCAGCTGTCAGTTTCAAGAACGTTAATGACTATATAACTTTATTTTAAAGAATAATCGTGATAACAATAACAAACAATTAAAGGAGCTGCGGAAAGTGTCCCCCTCCTTGTTATAACAATAAATTAAAGCAGCTGCTGAAAGTGTCCCCCTCCTTGTTCCAAGCACTTTTCACACCTGTTCCTCAAAGAATTAAAGACATTTTCTAAGATGCTCGGGGTATTGTTAATTTCACGAATCTTGTCTATAAGTCGAGCCTGCAGATGGTTTAAATCAGGAATAGGCAGTTCAAA